GTATTTATAGAGATTTTAAAATTTTTAATTAAATTTTTTTTTTTTTTTGAATAAAGTTTAAAAAATTTGAATTTTTAATTTTTTTTTAAAATTATAGCCGTTAAGGCACTATTTGTGTTATCCAAACAGTGCCTTAACGGCCAAATACACTATTTGTGGTACACATTTAAGATTTAAAGCAAAATAATAAAATAAAAAAAAAAACAAATTTTAAGGGGAAAAAACAAAAAGAAGAAGAAGAAGGTTTTTTAATTTATTTTTGGTCCAAATAAATTTATTTTTGGACAAACAGTGCCTAAACAATATAGTTTTTATTTAATGAATTTTATTTTATTTTATTTTATTTTAAAAAGAGCTCAAAATAACCTATTTTTAGGTTTTTTCAAAAAAAAAAAAAAATCTGCCAAATAGTGTCTTAAGGCATTGTTCAGTACCGTTACAAATAAAACAAAAAAGGCTCAGGCAAAACAATGTCGTTTTGCCTTGGGGAAAAAAAAAATTTACAGTGATCGTGGGCCAGCTCGATGAATACCGCGAGCCAGCCCGTGAGACAAACTGGGCTCCACAATTTTTAGCTAGGCCGCTGTGCAGCCAAAGGGCCCGACGCTCGTGGAATTTGAGCTTCCGCTAGTCCGTTGCGGTTGCTCTTAGGACTCCTAACAACAGTTATTTCACTTGTATATTCTGCCTTCTAGGACAATGCACAGAGACTCTTTTTCTTATTATGCTCTAATTTTTTTTTTTCCTGACTTCTTCTTCTCTGTTTTTTTTTTTTTTTTTTCCTGCTGATCTCCCTCCCTCTCTTCTGATCTGAATTTTTTTTTCTTCTCTGTTCTCTCTCTCCTTCTTCTGGCCTTTATTTATTTTTTTTTCTCTCTTCTTCTGTCTTGTTTTCTTTTTTCTCCCCTTCTTCTTCTGGTCTATTTTATTTTATTTATTTATTTTTTTTACCTTGTCTGTTTTTTCCTTCTTCTCTGTTGGTCCATTTGCAGGCTTAATTCACTTACTTTTGAATTTTAGTGCTTATAGTGATACTAGTATAATGCATATTGCATGCTGTTTTTATTTTGTGTGAAAATGCTTGTTATTTTTTTGCTATTGAAAGCATTTGGTTTACATGACTTTTGCATCTTTATATTTATTATTGCATCTTTATTGGGTGCCCTATTTTTTTTTTTTTTTCCTCAACTTCCGCCACAGGCTCCAAGAGGCCTTAGCTTTTAACAACTTAAAACACTCAAATATCATATTTGAGAGAGATTCTTAAGCTGACTTGTACTAGGAAGAGAGAATTCTGAAAACTATAGGTTAGCATTCTGGGAGTCAATCTATTCAGAAATTGGATTTGGCGACGAGCCTAATTAAAACATTTCCGTAGATCTTTGGAATAAAACCTAATAGATATTATCTAAAATCCTTATAATTTATTCCCAACAATATGAAATACTTATAATCCGAAACGTCAAATTGATCAAGGATGTTGTCACTAACATTCTAATAATCCAATTCTGGATCCTAAAGTTCCATTAAAAAGTGGATTTAATTTAGACTCAGGGGCCCAAATCCATATCCACAAACAAAAGATTCAACAGAAAGACAAAGTCTGTAAAATTCTTGCAATATAAGGATATCTAATGGAACAAAATGCCAAGATCCTAACTTTATGTATTGCAACACTAACAAACACAGCTCCAGCTTAGTTAACACATTACATATACACTTCTAAGCATGGCATTCAGTAAACCAACTTTTGTTCCATACATATGCTATTAAAAGAAAATGACATAAAACTAGAGGGAAGAACAATTACTTATGTGCTATCACCACATTGATAAAAAAAAATAATAATAAATAAATAAATAAATAAATTTGATGAACCAGGTAAACAAGTAATCCAATCTGTAATCTGGTAATTATATTGATCAAAGTAACAAAATCTTATTTAATGCAACTACATTGATCAGTTCTACAAAATCTAATTCACAGCATGACCACGCTAAGCAGTTAAAATAAATAAATAAATAAATAAACGTGAAATCAGTCATAGCCATCCTATTTCATAAAATGAAAAGAGGCATGCCACAACTGACATTGTGGTTGTAATATGAGATAAATGATACAGACATAGCCATCCTATTTCAGAGAAGGTGACATCCCAATAAAGTGGGAGGTCAATAAAAGCTGCTCCCGTGAAATCCAAAAATTACAAAAATCGCAACAATAAACATCTGTGTCTTGCAGCTAACACGTCACTACGACTTAATTTAAACAAAAATAAAAATAGACATTGGGTTATTGCTTGGAGAATTAAAAGCTTGGTTTGTCAGAGTTTAATGAAGGTTCAAGTCTCCAGGCAGCCACTCCAAACGAGTAAAACATGATATTCAGTTTCTAGCAAGCCAACCCTCTGGACATCCTAAATTGGAGAGACGGCCTGTTTGATTTCTCAATTCAGCGCTAAATGCAGAAGATGGTAAGTGATTTTTAAAAATAAGCGTGTTTGATAAAATTTTAGGACACCGCTTAAAATGGTAATTACTGCTTAAAAGAGGTCAAAATTTTAAGCATTAGAAAGGTTGCCTTATAGCTTATAGCTTAAAGATTTAAAAAATAAATTTCTAATGACTACTCTACCCTCATATAATCGCATTTTCTCTTTTAGGGTTTCTGTCTGCGATTTCTCTAGAGCCTCTCTACAATTTCTTTAGACTCCTCTCTGTGATTTCTCTCTGCGTTTGAAAATAAGGTGAGTGAATGTGGTTGTTTTATTAATATTTTTGTATTATAAATATAAAACTGTTATGAGTATCAAATATTAAGGACAAAAATATAATATGTACAACTTTCAGACTTCAGCTTTTGTATATAACAAACAATCTTAATGAATTCAACGCTTAAAATTAAAACGTTATCAAACAGGTTTTTAAATTAATACATTCAGTGCTTAAAGTTTCAACGCTTAAAATTCAGTACTTGAAATTTTCAGTGCTTAATTTTTAATTTTATCAAACAGCACCAACTACTAGCAGGAATTTTTTTATTTTTATTTATTTTATTTATTTATTTATTTTCCCAAATAGACTAAAGCAACCCAAGGAGCCGACATTTCGCTATCCACAAAGTAGTAGTTTTTGAAAGACAGTCAAACCAACAGCTATAAACTTAGTAATGTAGAGTTGTAGACAATATATAAATATATATATAGAGAAACAGACTTTTCATTATACTGGGGGTTGATAAAGGCTTCATGCACTAAGGCAAAATTCGTGAATGCACTAATCAATTCAGAGTCTGATAGCAAATTAATTACAAGGAGGCAAATTGCACAACACATATACCTAGATTGAAGAGTTGAGGATTAGAGTATCCATTTTCATTTATAGTTTTCAAGAGAGGGGTCAAAAGATGTTGACAACATCAAACGATAGGAATTCAATCACCAATGATACTGTGGTATAATTAAACAATAACTGTGCACATGCAGCAAAAAAGCGAACCTTCAATTGGGTAGCCGGGCAACTCACATCTCCTCTCTCTCAACATTTCAAAACAATTGTGGATTGCCTGCATCTATTGTATACTAAGGGAGCAAAAATTCCTAGAAAATTCTTTCGAAATCAACAGTCCTCTCTTTTCTAATGAACCCTTTTAAGTTTCCAAGTCCTCCAAAACATAGATTCAAAAGGAGAAGGATGACAAGCACAAAAGGGATGGTAGGAGAGGGAGATAAGGAAGCAACTTTCCCCAGCAAGGAAAGATAACATGCAGATAGAGGAATGCTTTCGAAAGCAGAGCAAACTGAGGCCCAAAGTCTTCTTGTACTAATTTCACCATAGTAGATCCACTACATCAAACACAATTCAGTTTTGCTAAAATGTTGCCTATAAAAGATCATATACAACACTTGCACCACGAGTTCCACCGGAAAGGTGGACAAATAACATTATTTTCTTCCAAAAACTCCTACATTCATCACTATAATAGTAATTAGGGTAAAGGTTTGTCCATATTAAACATGGCTTTTATGTTTGTGAAAACCAACAAAAATACCCCCAAAGGTTTGGGGTATGATACCACCCCTCTTCTGTTAGCTAGTCATTGGGACTACAACCTGATACCTACTGAAATGACCTACTTACCCATTTAATTGCTGAAAACACCCATTTAACCTATCAAATATGATGTGAAATGACCAAAATGCCCTATTAAAAGTTTAGTTTAGACAAAGTATACGAATTCACTCTTAGGGGTTAGGCCAAATCTTGAAATGCAGTAAACAAGCTAAGCCAAGTTTGCCTTGGTTTGGAGACAAGTGTTGTGGCTAAGTTATATATACACATAGAGAGAGAGAAGGTGTCAAGGATTCGTATTTAGATTAGAAAACAAAAAAGTATAAAGAAGCAACCAATGTAATTGCCAAATAAACTCAACTTCCAAATCAACAACTTATATGTACAATACATCAAATATTTCCTATCCACATAAAGTATTTCATCTTAGAAATTCCAACCCTACGGAAACAAGCAGTCGGTGCATTGGCACTTAGTGTAACCCAAAACCATTATTCACATTAATTAATCCATTTGTATCCACCGAAGAAGGGTATTTTTGAAATTATCTTTGTACATCGAATTTTTATCTTTGTACATCTATTGTGGGATATCCACAAAAGAACTGATAGACCACTTTATTCTATTTTTTCCCCCACAGTTTCACACTAGAGCGGTAGAGCCACAATTATTTAATAAAACCCCCAAGCCCTAAAATTCCTTGAAATGAGAGAGAAACCAAAAACCATCCAAAGTCAAGTTGGGTTGGTCTCCAACCAGACCCAACCAAACTTACCTATGCACGCTAAAGGTTCGGAGGTGACCAGTTCAAGCCTAACAGAGTTGCAACCATCAACCCACCGTGTGGAAGGAGAAGGAGATACTACTTGAGCCAAAGGCTTGGTTGTACACAGATATGGTATCATTCAAATGAAATAAAAAAGCAGAAGATGTCGTGACCTTTGGGTTTGTATCATTAAGAAGTTCCTCATACAAGTCCTGCACTTAATGTGCGGGACTCAGTTTCAGAGTTGAAAAGCCATATGAAAGAGAACAAACAAAAAAGTAAAATTACAAATCACAGTCAGGGAATAAGCTAATGTTAGGAACCATAAATCCACAACAAAAATTAGAATGCCATAGAAAAATAAGGGATGGGACTTGTTCAGCTTCTTGGCGCAATAATCCTGGACAACAAGAGCTAACTGATGAAAGTTATCACCCTCCTGAAAATCATCGTGCGTGTAGGAATCCTCCTCAAGTAGCTAACTGATGAAAGTTATGTAGGAATCCTCCTCAAAGTTCATCATTATTGGCCTCTTTGTGTTTTTTTCGAACTTCTTGGCAATTTCGTTGTGTTTTATCTTCTGGCCCTCTTCCTTGGGTTTCTTATTTTGTGGTTGTGATTGATTGGACTCGTCTTTGTGTTCTGCATCTTGTTGAATGATACAACTGAATTTACATAAGGAAAATAAGCATCCTCACGATTCAAATCCGTGCTTATAATTCTGATCTCTCGACGCCTCGTATGATAGGCACACAATGAATTGCCTATGAGAATATTAATTTCATCATTTTTATCCCAAACAATACACTGCACGGTACACCTCTTTCCCCAATTTCTTCAAGGTTTATGCAGCATTCCAACTTCAGTCTCATACCTTCCTCTCTTCTTTCACTAACAAAGATTCTGAGTCGGCAATCATTTTCTACACGGCTAACATGAATGTAGCACGGTAGGAGCTCCAATGTTGTGAGAGTTCCAACTTCCCCAGTGAGTGGCAGAGAAATAAATCCGTGAACATTGGAGAACCTATCGTGGAACTCTCACAGCATTGGAGAACCTACCGTGCTACATTCATGTTAGCCGTGTAGAAAATGATTGCCTACTCAGAATAGAGGAATGTATGAGACTGAAGTTGGGATGCCGCATAAATCTTGAAGAAATTGGAGCATTGGGGCAAGAGGTGAACCGTGCCGTGTATTGCCTGGTATAAAAAATGATGAAATTAATATTCTCATAGGCAATTCATTGTATGCCTATCATATGAGGCGTCGAGAGATCAGATTTATAAGCACGGATTTGAATCGGGAGGATGCTTATTTTCCTTATGTAAATTCAGTTGTACCACTAGACAAGATGCAGAACACAAAGACGAGTCCAATCAATCACAACCACAAAATAAGAAACCCAAGGAAGAGGGCCAGAACACAGCAGAAGATAAAACACACGACAACAAAGAACACTTAGACTTTACACGGATTTCTCAGTTGATTCCAGATTCCTACATTCTCTTCTTCCTGTTCAGAATTCTTGCCTATATTCTGCTCTTCCTGTTCAAAATTCTCGCCAATATTCTCTTCATGTTCAAAATTCTCGCCTATATTTACTTCTCCATGTTCAGAATTCCCAATTTGTGCCATGTGCATTCTTTTATGCTGACTGCTCTGCATGAAGATATGAGCAGACTGTTAGTACGATCAATGACTTCCATTTTAACATGTTTTTGTGCTTTTTGCTGAAGAAATAGACTCCATTTTAACATTGATTTTTGTATTATCGAAACTGGTGTGGAAAGGAAAAGGAACCAAAAAAAAAAAAAAAAAGCCATGAGAATAAGCTCCAAATGAATATCTTTAACTAAGATAGGGACATTCTAATAAATAAAAAACAAAGTGTGTTTTCTGACACCTATTTGATTGACAAAAAGGTGAATACGATGTCACAAGAAGTGCTTCTAAAGAAATTCTTCAAATTTAGAATCTTAATGCTCATATCATCTCTATGTACTTGATGATTAAATCACAAAAATGTTTACCTAAATATATACATTGGTAGATACATATGTTTGTGTACCTTGTACATAGATACCATATATAATTGTAATGGCAGTGAATCCTAGGGCATGGCCACATTTTGCATATTTCACAAATATTGTTGTGCATAATAAGTAGGTGGTGTTTGGATAAAATCCTTAGAGCCTCTTGAGATAGGAGATTAAAAGGACCATATGCTTACAGCCTCCCGAGATAAGAGATTAAACACTTATTAAACTGCTATGAAAGATACCTCAAGCTCGGAGGATTTGGTGTTTGGATAGAATCCTTGATGTTCATGATTGGACCCTTGAGGCAAAAGATATTTAAACTATGGACATTTTCCAAAATTTTCTAAGAATTACTAAAAGAAAACCACACAAATGAACCATTAATTATACCAGAGGGCTATGGATCAGAGAGTCATTCTTTCGGTTGCTAAACAAACAAGCATCTTCTTCTACCTAATATCACTTGTCCGAATAATAGAGGAATAGACTTTCAATAAAATATGGAAAGAACCTTAGTTTGAAAGTTAGACCAAACAACATTTGTATGTCTGCATCAATCTTGTAAGGGGAAAGAAATGCAAACAAGTAATCTAAGGAAATAGAATAAGTGTATAAAATAAACATCAATTGAAACCCTAAGAAGTTCCATGATGAGTAATCTCTCATAAATATCACAGACTTAGGACATGCATGAATGGAAATATTTTTCAAACCTAAGGTCTATGATAATTACTTATCATATATATATATATATATATATATATTTATTTATTTATTTTATTTATGTATTTTTCTAGAAATACATAACAAAACTTCTAAGTCGTTAACTTAAGAATCAATTAAGGAGACCAAATTCTCGATCCTTGAATCAATAAATGGCAGCTTAGTTTTGACCATTATTCTACAAAACCTCAAGTCTCCCCTTGTAAGAGGATATTATAACCTAATTTACATGGTCTGCACATACCTAGAATGAAACCTACAATTGGACACTGTATTCATTGTGCAAATGTGTAATTTAAATGACTTGGCAAAATAAGAAACAAGTTGTGGTTACATCAACTGCTTAAGAATTTTTTTGGATACAAGCTTATATAATGTAGTGAGTGAAGAATGTTGTTGAAGAATTTCAGATTAATCAATAAGGAATAACAAACATTTTTTTTTTTTTTTTTGATAAGTCAATAAGGAATAACAAACTCGAACCATAATAATGAGGCAGCCACTACTATGGTGCATCATCTAGGGATGTTAGTTTAACTCGTTCCAAGAATGTTCGTTAGAGCCTTTTTCTTTTCATTGCTTTTTTTTTTTTTTTTCCCTAGTTGATACTCACACACCTGACACCCCCCAAGGAATTGTTTTCATTGCTTTTCAAGATAACTTAAAATTTTAAGTTTGAAGATAATTCAAAAGTTTTAACTTCAAAGCTAAGAAAGTTTGTGATTATGACCGTTAAGTATTTGTTTATAATCAGATTTTTCTAAAAATTTATCAAAAAAGTAATCAAGTTTGATTTTCTTTTCCTTTTTTACAAAAAGAAAAAGAAGTATGCATAGTGCCAAGAACCTGCCCCAACTCCCATGCCAGGTGGAACGGGTTTGGGAATTGATTTTCCTCTGAGGGGCGAGTATGAGGTGACCTGCCATATTGACATCCCCATCATCTCACCGAACATGGCAGAACAAAATTATAGTGAAGAGGATTGTCAACTCATAAGAAAAAGGCTAACTATTGCACATGTTTATCTATTGTTTTTTTTTTTATCTAATGTAAATTATGTAAGTTACCAAACATGTTTCGGCACAACAAAAACATTGTTTGTACTTAATATGAAATTGAAACGAAAAAATGGAAGTGATTGCCAAATGACCCCATAATGAATTCAACATGGATTTCCTATTTAAATCCAAATTGGACTAACCAGCCACAAATTATCATGCAATAAAAAAATAAAAAAAGAAGAAGATGAAATTAGCAACATATCTCTATGAAAAAATTAACAAAAGGAAAGGGGTAACAAAATAATATAGGGCTCATTTCGGGTTGTGTTGTTTTGTTGCGAAACGACTCCTACAGTAAAATTGGCAACAAAAACAACAGTTAAGTGCATTGCTTCACCACAAAACAAACCAAAGCACGTGTAAATTTGGATCCAAGAAAATGGTTCTTTCGCCTTTTTTACATTGTACAATTCAAAACACAGAGGGACAATTAGCTTCAATACTGTGCACGTAAACGATGTCTTATAAAAAGGATTATGCCCGACAGATACATCTCTTGCCACACACAATCTCTCTCCCCGTCTCTCTCTAAATGTCCCATCGGTCCACCTCCAAAAATGGCAATTGCCACCAGCAACAACCCGAAGTACAGATCGATGAGATCTCCATCTTTCCTTTTCCATCAACATCTCAGTTCCTCCCTCCCTGTCTCTCTCACACACACACACAGACTACATCTCTTTCTCTCTATCCAACTGGGAACAACACTCTTCCATACTCTAGACTCTTAACTGGATTCAAACTAAGAGATTACACTCACCCAGCTAGCTCTTAAGAAAGTCTTAATTTAGTTTAGTCATTATTACATTCTTTATTTGGCACGGAAATCTCAAACATGTGGCGTTTTCTGAAGCAGATGCGGCAGCTGTACCGTGCAAAACGTTACCAAACATACTTCCGCCATTTGTTTCTATTTTTCACCAATTTGGCAACAACATAACAAAATAAAATTGCCGCCAAATAGGCCCATAACATGCCACTGCCATGTGTGATGACACCAATCCACATCCATTGGCCAAATGTAGGCCATCCAAGGGGGAGAGAATAAAGGGTGGGAAAAAGAGAGAAGGGAAGGAAACTTAGTATAATAGTAGATGGTGTCAGAGCTAAATTGATGTGTTCAGCTTCAAACGATATATGATTAAATTTCACAATCTAACATCTATTTAAATCCATGACAATGAGTAGTATTCGGAGTATAAAATTATAGAGTCATCATCTTAACCTAATAGGCTAATATGTAAGGGAACAGGGTTGCTCAAATGGTAAGTCCTCATGGTTACTTCCTTGAAGTCTTAAGTCTTAGTTCTGGTTTAACCAATATTTGTGATTTGCTGGTAATTGCAGTTATCGTACGTGGGGTTGAAACTATTCTTTGTGATGCAAATTGTGATCATCACAATGAGACGGACCTTTCTATCAAATCCAAACAACAAACCCGTAATATAGGGTAATGCCTATAATACAGAAGTGGAATATCATATTGAACTGTGATTGTTACTACCAAATAGTTTGCATAAATTGGTGAAAGCAAAGGTAATGCAGAAATCAAAGAACTCAAAACACAATTCAATTACATAAATGCGACTATACACATTCGTGTATATATATCTATGAGAGAGAGAAATAAATAGTACCAAATGAGATAGGTAGGAGGGTTTCCGATAACGGAGCAGGAGGCGGCGTCTGGGTTGGGAGGGGCGAAGAACGGCAGCTGCAAAGCAGGAGTAGGATCAGCAGCTATGGGTGATCGCCAAAGAGGAGTGGAAGGGACAGAGACTTCGAGGGCACTTGACGGAGTCGCTGCCGATGATAGGGACTTCCGTCCCATCCAATTTACTTCCCATTCGCTTTGATACCAAAAAATTGGAAGACCTACCTTACACAACACACTCAGTTCTTGAGTACAAAGATCACTCTTCTGTCACTGTCTCTCTCTTTGCTCTACTCACTCTACTTACGGCTGCAAACGAACCGAACCGAGGCGAGCTTTGGATTGCTCGGGCTTGGATCATCATTTCCAGAGATGCTCGGCTCGGGCGAGCTTCGGCTAGCCATTTCGGGATCGGGATCGGGATCGGTAAGGTTTCTACAAGCTCGGGCTCGGCCTGTTTCGGGCTCGATTACATCACCACTGATCACCAAATCAAGAAAACACCATGATCTCTTTGATTAAATCTGATCTCCATGTCCAACAAGAAAGAAAGAAGAAAAACAGACTAAATTTTAAAATGAACTCAAACTTACAAGGTTTATCTACTCCATTTACAGATATTTGACCTTACGATCCATTAGAGAGGAGAGAGTTGTATCATATGTGGAGGGATCCGTTAGAAAGAGAGTGTGGTACCGATTGTGGAGGGCTGCCGGCGAGTTGTACAGTGAAGCTGAAGATGCCATGCCGCCGCTGCACACGATGGGTTTAATTGTGCCCATATCCGAAAATAGGGTTTTTTTTTTTCTCACACTTCAACTGTAGCAAAGCAACGGTTCAGATGGATTAAAAGTTAAGGGCTGAGATGAATCTTATTTTGCTGAGCTTAGAATTCTCTCTTTGGGCATTGTTAATGAAATGATATAATTTTGGGCCAAATTTATTCTCATATGGGCTAAAATCTTTTAAGTGAAAATAATACTAGTAATGGGCCTTTTATTAATGTGAGCTTGTTCAGGAGTCTATACGAATCGAACCCAACACTACTCGAGCTCGACTCATTTATTAAACGAGCCTAAAAATTGAGCTCGAATTCGGTTCGTTTACCTAACGAATGAGCCTGAGCTGTCATGAACCTCTTGGTTCATTTGTAGTCCTAAGTATACTCTCTTGCCCTGTTTTGCGTCAAATTAAAGTTGAGTTAGCTGTTTCAATTTGGGTGGGTAAATTGGAAGTCGGAACTCAACCCAACTTTTCATGGATTTTTGCAATCATTTTTGTTGGGCCTAGGCCCGAGCCTGAGTTTTTAATTAGAATTTGACTTTATGATGTTAAAACATATTATATGTCCTTGTAATCACAATCAACCTCTTTTTTTTTTTTTTCAAAAATTTCTATTTATATCTTGTTTTATTGTAATTAATTAATTAAAAAAATAATATGTTCAACCATGTTTAATAAAAGGTTTTATACCTTAGGTTTAACCTTTAACCCTCCTGAGTTGCATTTTTAAATACAAAATACACTCACCTCTATTATGAATTATGATAAATTAAACAGCCCACTCATCCAATTATACTACTAATGTCATCAGTCACCAATCACTCATCCTATTATTGTGTAATGGATCCTGTGTATCAACATTAATTATTTTGAGTAATATTCTGGCCTTGAATTATTATAGGAATTTTATCTTCTTGTTTTTTAAATTTACACTTCATATATTAGTTTTGGTTCCACTAAATTTTCAACCTTTTGAATCAGTGTATGAGGGAGAATTAAATGTGACACCTATTAGCGAATAAATAAGAGAAAATATACCGAACATTTTAAATGCAAACCAATACATACACAAACTAGAAAAATAAAAAGATTTGTTACAAAAAGATGAGAAAAAAAAAATGTAAAAGAAATAGTAAGAACAGTTTTAAAAAGCAAATAAATAAGAAAAAAAAAAAAAAATAGTTTATGATAGAAATGAATGAAAGATCATAAACAAAATTATAAATCTATGCGGCCAGACCCGTTGATATGGAATAAGACACTCCATACCAGAACAAAACTCGGTTAGCCATTATGAGATCTCAAGACTTGCCATTTCTTACCTTCTTAAAATGGTATTTGAACATCATCTGAATCTTCCCACTCTAACCAGGGGACCCTGCATTTCTTACCATCTTAAAATGACGAAAGTAAAACAAAATCACAGTCACTAGACAAAATGTTAAATTTTATGTAACCCAATTAAGATCGTTCATCAGTTTTTCAAATAATACATATTTAATTTAATACATACATACTATTTATATCACAAATTCTAAATCATAAGACATGTTCAGACACCCACAACTTGTCAAGCCAGTTCAAGTTCCTAGTCCAAGCCCAGCCCAGCCATGTTCACGGTGCTTCTCATCATATTCATCTTCCTATATATACTTTGCCTGCATATTGTGGAGTCAAAAAACTACTTTTGCAGCAAAATCACCTACCCCCAATTTCAAATGAAATGATAGGGGCTCAACTGCTTTCAGTTCTCATGGTTTCCAAGGTGCCGGTGGAGGTGGCGGAGTTGGAAACATCGGTGGAACTGCAGAGAATATGGTGTTCTTGTCAATCTTAGTAGTCTTGTCACCTGACAGAGCAACGAGGGCTGCAACTAAACCAGCATTGCCTGCAAGGGTAGGCTCCGTGTAATTGTAGTTAGTACGCACATCGTGGAAACCATCATGCTTGTCAGGGCCAGCAACCAAGGCTCCTACAAGTGTATTCGGATTTGGCTTGTGGGTGTCCCGCCATTTCCATCCCCCTTTACAGTTGTACTTGATCTTGTTCTTAGGGATTGATGCACCTCTATGGTGGACGTGTTTTGGATAGTGATTACCGAAACCCACAACATAACTCATCCCCCGGGGATTTTTACCAAGGATGTAGTCAATCTGACAAAACCCAGGAGCAAAGGAGAACATTTAGCGGCCAAAAAAGAAAAAGAAGAGGAATAATAAGATCAAATCAAATAGCAGCCCCATCAAGCAACTGATGAAAGAGAATCAAGGTCTCAAATACCTGGGTCTCGGCAAATTTACGTAGGACGTCTGTTGAGTAAAAATTGGGACCACAGTACCATCCAGGTGTATCTGCTGCATCAAGATAATCACTGTACAGGGTAGCCAAGAAGGCTGCATTTACCACATATTGAAGAGGCTGTGGCCTTCCATGGTTTAATTGGATCAAGCCTCCTGCAAAATGTCCCCAGAACAATTACACTGAATTTCTATATTCACGTAAAAAGTACATTCAACCCCATGGGGGCTATAACATGGAGCTGCCATACCTTTCGTTCTATTAAAACTTGTAAAATATGGTAGGTATTGGCACATGACTACACTGGTCTGGTTGTGATACGTTTTTAACATTTCTTCGTATGGATACCCCGGACTCAAGAACAATCTCAAACGGCTCAGAAGCACCTAAACACAAGTAACAAAGATTATACAAGTAATGAACTGGGTATAGTACATGCAAAACTGAATAATTAGGTGCTTCAATTTTATAACTCTACCTGCTTCAATTAAAATGTCAGTTGAGGCAGCTACTGATCATTCTAAGCACAAATATTATGATAATTAATTAAAATTTTCAACAGCTCATCATTGGCAATGCGTCATTAAGGCTATAATTTTTATATCACTAAAGTTACTCAAATTATATAAAATGATGGACGGATTATAAAATTGTAACAAAAAAACACTAAATGAGATAGGACACAGAGAGGAATAGAAAAGGGGGGAGGAGTTCTGAAAAAGTAAACAAAAGAAAAATAGGCCTTGAACATTGTCAACCCTTCAGGGAATTTTCAGTATCACCACAAAGTTCAAATAAGTGCATATTTTTTAAAATCCCGCCACCTCCCCACCAAAAATAAAATTAAAAAAATATAATATATAACACACTGCATTGATAATAGATTTATAGTTAGGAGTTAGAGAAGCACAAAAATACAGAGACCACTTACATAGTTGTGCTACTAAATCCAATACCAGGTTACTCCTTCACCATCTTTTATTATTAGAACTTCCAAAGTAATCGTCTAACTAATCTTGGGTAACCATGATACCATACCAAACATGTGCGAGTTAGTAGCTTCCCTAAATCACAGTCATATACAGTTCAAACCATGCAATGGGATTATTTGCTGAAGGTATAAAGTGAAGAATCACACGTTTCCAAACATATAGCATATAGCAGTACTTGGAAAGCAAATAACTGAGTGGAATAATGATGTAGATTCAGTTCCTACGAATGTTGAGAGAACCTTAAAACCAAATGAAACACGTAAGAACAATCACATAGAAATACCCCACACATGCACGGGCAAACACATTGATGTAACAAGCATCAATGAGTTGGAAAACACATTCTTGCACTTAACTCTGAACAAACAGAGCAATCAACAAATTCAAATAATGGCTTGGCATGCACATGCACCTTCTAATGAATCAATCAAGAAGATAAAAGATGAATGGTTCAATGATAACATGACTTGGGAAGATAATATTCAACTTCACTTACTTGAGCTCCAGCAAGCTTATTGTCCCAGCTAAATACACTAGAATCTATGCTTCCCCAAAAGATACCAGCATGTTTGGCAATTCCACGAGTAGTAGCAAGTGTGAGATAGGAAGAATTCCCAGTGGCATAATACAGCCAAGCTCCACCCCACACAAACTCATCCCAGTAACTAGTGGAATTATAGAACTTTGCAGCATCTGCACCACCTGCACTGTATCTGCCTCTTTGATCCCTGGAAAACTTAAAAAGGGTTCTAGCACCATGGACAAGTTTCTGTGAGTAGGCCTTGTTGTCCTTAAAAACAATGGATGCAGCAGCTAAAGCAGCAGCCATCTCTGCAGCGAGGTCTGAGCAACTATGACACTCATATACAGGTCGTGCGTAATCAATGTCTTCTGGACGCATCCAACAATAGTGATCATTAGCAGTGGGACCTCCTGAAGTATCACCTATTCCAACCTGTCAGACAGTAGCAACCAACAAAACCATGAGCGATTTCAACTGACATCAACATTGGTTTTCGACCGAAACACCAAGATCAAGAAAATTGAAATAGAAATGACCAGGAATACCTATTCAAACTATAAAGTAAACAGAACAAACAATTTGCTGACAACTTCTGCAACAAGTATATAAGAAACTGAATAACATGATAGATATAAAACACTGGGTCTAGAACTTCTGTACTACATGGAAGACACAAAGGAACACAAAAACATATAAGGGAAAGCTAAATGACTGGTAGTGCTAACCTGTGCAGCTACCCTGTCTATGGTATCAGCAGAAGAATTAAAGGTCTTGAGAAAATAATCAGTCCCCCACTTAATTATTTCTTTAACATGGTTGAGCTCTCCAGCAGCTTCATATTTAGCACTGTATTCAATTACACTCCAACTCAACATGGTCATGGCAAAAGATGCAGGGAAGTTGAACTTGATTGCATCTCCAGCATCATAGTAGCCGCCCACCAGATCTTTAATTACAGACGACGAATCAGACTTTCCATCTTTCAAACACGAGTTCCCCCTCCATGAGACATTATTGTGCTTTGGAAGTTTCCCAGCTGTAATTTTCATTATTATTATGAATTAGAAAAGAATGAGAAGAATAACACAACCATAATAGAATAGAAGCAAAACATGAAATTAAATTTGGTAAAGCGAAAAACAAAAAATTACAATGGTAAATTGAACAAGCATTTATTTGATTTCTTCATTCACCTTTTCACATGAATCATCAGAAGAGCTGATGTGTTGGTGGATGCTGAACCAAAAATATCATTTTGCTAATGAAATGCCTTGTAAATGACAAATTTTCAAACCATATGAAAATATATCTCTCTCTATATATATATAGGCACGTATATATGGGTACTACAAGTTGTATGTGTATAAATAACAAATTGTATTTATATGTATGCAAATAAAGCAATAATTTTCACTCATTTCTTTATCAACTCAGTTCTTGTTTTACCTATATGCGGTTGCTTTACATATATATATATATATATATATATATATATGCATGCACTCTTACAAGAAGATCTACATACCAAGCTCATTAAGCACACTAGACTTACCAGTTTATGAAAATCTATCATAGTATCATCTGTTTCCTGTTGTTGACTTACCAATATATTAATGATTTAACTTATTAACTATTGCACATTTGACTTGCAATCAATATATTAATTATTTTGTTTGTGAATAATTTAATTACAAAAATATGGGCAATATACTCGCAAAATCTAGCACAGAATGGTCAATCAGATCAAAATTTCAAAACTTTCCAATGCAATGTTCAAAATCTGAATGCTAATTTGCCAGCTGATATAGAAGCAAAGCAAAAGAACAAACACAACCCATCAATTGAAATCTGAGAACCATACATATATAATTATATATATAAATATATATGTTTAACAAACACAACCCATCAGTTGAAAGCTTAGAACCATACATATATGATATATATATACACACACATACATGTATATATGTTTACTTACAGCGCTGTTCGTTGAAGAACATGAGGGCTTTGTGGAGAGCAACCGTGTAATTGTCCGGCGGTGGATGAGCACGGTGGTGGCGAGGCACCGTCTTGACGATAAGGGTGATGAACCCTGCTAACAATCCGGCAGCGAGGATGACCCCGACCGTCCAAAGAAAGATCTTGCGGCTAACAATGATACAACCCAGATCCACATACCTCTTCTTCTTCTGCTCTCCCGGTCCCAACAGCCAGCTCTGCTGGGTCTCATCCAACGGCCGCGACAGCGCCGCCCTGTCGAAGTCCTGCAAGTTCCGGCTCCGGTCGTCGTCCGTCGCGGAGTCCGCCGCGTTAATCTCCAGCGGCCCACCCCACGGATCTCTCCCGTACATACTCATTTTCCAATCCCTTCAAATCACTCAATTCGGTTTTCGAATTCCTCAATTGGGCTTCAATAAATCGAAGCAAAAAAGCTAGAAACAAGTTGTAATCTCAAAGAAAAGCGACGATTTGGTTCAAATTCCTCAATTGGGTATCATCAATAAAAAGATAAAAACAAGTTGTACTCTCAAAGAAAAACGATGGTTTGGTTCAAATTCCCCAATTGGGGTTGCAAAAAATCAAAGCAAAAAATCAAAAAACAAGAAGTTGTAATCTCAAAGAAAAACGATGATTTGGTTGAATGTTGATGTTGATTTTTTGCAGTTGTTTGAGCTGAAGGGTCAGATATCTAAGAGATAGAACACGAAATTGGGAGGCTGAAGAAAAGAGGAAAGAGGAAAGAGGAAAACGTGGGTTTATGTTCTTGTATTGTGTGTGCTCTGTGTGCTGGACTGGTAGAGACTGTTGTGGACTAAAGTGATTATCACTAGTATTATTTTAGTTGTTGTTGGGTTGAATTAACAATATACACTTTTTGGTTGGTGACAACACTGACGAGGACCACTAATCGACAAAGACAGCCTGTCTAACCTCATTAACCAATAACCCCACTGGACCCTCTCTCTCTCTCTCTGTATATACTGATATAATTATGAGTATCTGAAAATTGATATTTCAGTTAAGCATTGCCTTCCCTTCTTTGCAAGGCTCCAGCTAATGTTGACTGCTAATTAGTGAATAAACGTGTCAAAAAAAAAAAAAAAAAAGTGAATAAATGATATATATATATATATATATATATATATATATATATATTTGTTGCTCTCTAAAAAAATTATCTACATCATGGATATAATTATTATATATTTTTTATAATTATATTTTTATACTTAAATCATATATATATATATTATGTGAATGATGTTATCATGTATAAAAAAATTTCTTAGATTCATTGCAAAGAAATTCAAATTCTCAACCTTTATAAAATTCTCGTATGTAAGTGTCTTTGTTATCATGGTAATGCATTTTCATAACGAGATATGATTAAAAATTCAAAACTAAGACCTAAAATTTGGAGAACGTGTGACAACTAGTACAGTTTATTATACACCAACAAAGATTTTGTGGGAGGAAGCCTCTGAAAATAGGAACATGCTAATTTTTAAATTAGTTGATTATTTAAATCAGATGCTTCAAATATTTTATATATCAATTTAATCTTGTTTATGATACTGATTGACCAATCAAAGAATTCAATGGACTTGTAATCTTGATCTTTATTATACAACTTAAAAAAATAATTTTATTAAAGATAAATTACACTAATCTCTTTTTAAAATAATTTTATTAAAGATAAATTACACTAATTTCTTTTTAAAATTTGACATATTACATACGAGTAAATAAATCATTTGTCGTTTGTTATCTTGATCTTCTTTAAATTAGTTCACCGGTCATCAAAAAATGACTTTGAGCTTAAAAAGTAAGTCTTATATTATTATACTAATATATTACTCCATATAGCACAATTTATATGAGGGAAGGGTAAATTTGACATTTTATAAAATATGTTTAATAGATCTGTTGGAAAGAAAATGCTAAAGTTGTCATTGAGTATAATAAATGTTGAACGGTTTGTGGGTATGTAATTTGTCCAAACTCAATGGAAGTAAGGTTCTATTTGTTTTAATATAAAATATTTTTTTTTAGGTAAAATATACTTTTCCGCATGTGGGACTTATAAAATAACTTGTTAAAAATTGGTGATTAAATTATTTTTGTTAAATTTTAATTTTTTTTATTAAATATTTTACAAGAACAAAACACAAAAAAAAAAAATAATAATAATAATATATCATTTAAAAAATATTTTACGAGACATAATTGTAATTTACCCTCTATTAACACATTAGGTGGGGGGAGATTGGAAAGGATTGAGACTGATTGTCATCGGATGAGAGAAAAACAAATCTTTCTAATCAATGTCGTGTGAGTGTAATGCTTTAGGTAAGGTTGATGCTTCAAAACTTGTAACAAGTGGATAAAGATAATCGGTTATGGGGTTTGAAAGTTGAAGAAAAGGAAATGCAAAAGACCATGTGGTTTTAAATAATGAATGTAGTTGGGCAAAATTATAGAGACACCCACACAAAATCTAACTTGTTATAGTGACCTCCTATCAGCTTTCAATTTTAAACTACTTACTGAACCAGTGATCGTAAGGTGGTTTAGAGGGGGAAAAAAGGGAAATTGGGATCTCAATCGGTAATTTGGTCGAAGGTGACTCCGTTAAGATAAAGTTGCTACCTAAAATCAGGGCATTTCAGTAGCAAAACATTGAATGTATTACACAAGGTGATAATTAGTAATGCTTTCTCACTTTCAAATTAAAAAGAGGTCACGGTAGGTCACAACCTAAGTTATATAATTATGGGATAATTTCACTAACCCTCCAGTAGTTTAGCCAAATATCAGTTTAAAATATTTTTTGAAAATAACTATCACTCACATTACAAACGTTTGCTCCGTTTTTCACTCACACCCCTAAAGTTAATTGACAGGTGTGTCAGACCACTTTTTACATGTAAAAAGACATTCTTACCATTTGACTTTGGTTTGACTCACTAAATTATTTCTTTAATAATTAAAATTACATGTTTATCCTCATTTGACTTTAGTTTGACTATTCAAATGACATATATACCCTTCCTTTTCCATATACAAGAATAAATAAAATAGGTGATCAACATCATACAGTGTGGTATTGAGGGCCATTATATGTCACACAAGTGTCCGGTTCTATATTTTTTTAAGGAAATTAATGAAATTTTAAGTAAGAAAATTTAATTTAATTTTATGGAAATTAATGAAATTTAAAAAAAGAAAGAGAAAAATAACAAAAATTTTAAAAACTAAAATAGAATAATAAAATAAGAAAAATCACCCATTCATATATTTTTTTAAGGAAATTAATGAAATTTTATTTTTTCAAGGAAGTTAATGAAATTTAAAAAGAGAAAGAGAAAAATAAGAAAAATTTTAAAAACTAAAATAGAAAACTAAAATAAGAAAAATCTCCCATTCATATATATATTTTTATAATTTGAATTATATATGTTTAGGTTCATGAGAATTGCTTATTGCATGTTTATATTTTTTCAGATTGGTGGATTTGTATGATTTAGGAATTAATTGGTTGACAAAAATTTCAAATTTATTACTCCATTTATTTTTAGAGGAGTGCTAACGGCTAATTAATTAGTTGACTTAGGAATTAATTGGTTGAATTTATATGTTTATTCAAAAATTCCAAATGGGTTGATTTAGGAATTAATTGGTTGAATTTATATATTTATTTATTTTTGTTAATTTTTTATTTATTTATTTTCTATTTATAGGTCCCCTCATTCTTCGCTCTCTTTCTCTCTCTTCTTTTTCTCTCTCTAATCTCTCAGGCCAGACAAGTCTCCGGCGCCGACACCATCAACGAAGACACCAACTCTCATGCCACCACCTCCTGCAACCCATCTGGTGCATTCAGTTACATCCGGTAAACCCAACTAATGTCGAAAACTCTTAAATAAACAGGTGGAGAGAGAGACAGAGAGATTGAGAAAGCGTAGGCATCGATGGTGGAAGTGAACTCATATTTGCAGACCCAAATTACAGAGGCACCGACGATGGTGCCAAAATAGTGGAAGAGAACCACTATTTGCAGACCTAAATTGCAGAGGCATCGACGATGAACCCATATTTGCAGCTCCACTTGATCGGCGGTACACAGTTGGATGGAAGGTATATGGATTTGCTCGGTGATGTATGTAGATGGCTCTGGAACTTGGGCTTGATGGTACGAAATTTGGACTCTAGAAGGTTTTGTGTATCTGTAGAGAAGAGATCGAGGAGCAACTGGGTGGAGTTAGAAATTCGGGAGCAGAGAATTTGGATAGAGATAGAGGAGAGAGAAATAGTGTGTGTAGAGGTAAAGAAGTCATTTATATTATCTAATATTTTAGAATAAATGTGATTAAAAAATTAGGGGCAAACATGTCTTTTCTCATGTTTTTAACTTAGACAGTAACAAAAAAGCAAAAATGGACCAAGTGATAGTTATTTTCGAAAGATGTTTTAGACTGATATTTGGCCAAACTACTGGGGGTGTCAGTGAAATTATCCTTATAATTATTCTAAGCTGTTGTCGCTCTCGAAGTCACAACCTAAGTCATATAATTATTCTAAGTGTTACTGTCGCGCTCTACAATGTCGCTATTAAAAGAGTTTATAACTTAAGTCATAATTCTAATAAACTAGTATGGCTCTCGTGCTCTACGGCACTCTTATGCTCTTACATTTTGCACGCTCTCACCTCCATTCCCATTATATGTGACACTCCTACTTTCACGCTCTCACATGTAATTTTCACTTTTGCAAAAAAAAAAAAATTAAAAATCAATAACAATTCGGGAAAGAATATAGGAATACACGAGTTATCATGTTGTAAGCAATCTTCAAGGGTCGGCAAGGGATGCCTTTGGGAGAGAAATATATATATCATTTAGGGTAAAGTGCAAAAAACCCCCTTGAACTTTACTCTTTCTCCCTAAAAACCCCCTGAACTATTTTTTGTACAATTAACCCCCTGAACTATCAATTTTTTTGCAAAAATTACACACCGGCGAAATTCCGTTTGATTTCTCCGGCATTTAGGCGCGTGATGAATACATGATAGCAATATATTTTGAATCTAACCTTATACTATTAAATGTATAAAATAAAAATAAAAATAAATCCCAATTTAAAGCCCTAAAAAAATTACACGCGTTGGCGCGGTGAGGGATGGATTTGAGAAAGAGGTGAATATCAGAAATTAGAAAAAAATTTGATGTACGATTGACAGTATATACAAAAAATTTCAATATATACACACTGTTTGAACCTTAAAATCATATTTTTCAGAGTTCTCTTTGCTCATTTCAATATATACACACTGTCCGAACCTTGATATAATATTTTTCAGAGTTATCTTTGGTTACACTGTGAAAATAATAATGTTTTATGTGTTATAAGAAGACTGCTGTATATTTTTCTGAGACTGGTGTAGGGTACAACAGTGAAACGGGGATGATTGAGTTGGAAGCTGAAAGATGGGTTCGATTGTGCAAGGTTAGTATTTCAATACGTGTCTATTTACCATACATAAAGTTAACAATTAGTGATTTTATATTAAAAGGGTTTGATGAACAATAATTGTAAGCTAATAACGTGTAGGTTCTCAAGTATGGCAAAAAAACAAAAAAAAAACAGGAGTGTAAGAATTATGAGCAGATGGTAAGGATGTTTGGGGATACACATGTTACTGGTAAGTATGTTCATGCTTCTATAAAAGCACCCAAACCTCACCAAGTGCTAAAAATGTCTCAAGTGGCAACACATGAAGCTGCAATTCATAACATTGAGTGCAATACGGACATGACTGATGTAGAATGACCTAATGTAGAAGGACCTATTGATCTCAGTCCTACTCCCAAACCTGTAGCTAAGAAACCTAAGAAAGAAAGTTTTTCCTCCGTAATGTCTCAAGTGATGGCATGTTTGACTGATATTGGGAGCGTGAAAGCCGAAAAAATTACCAAAGCTATAGCAGAATCATCTTCTAGTTGTCAACCATCTCGTGTTAAAGAAATGTCTGAAGTTAAATCTCCCGGTAAAAAAGAAAAAGAAAAAGAAGTGGATCCCCAACTTGAGGAGTGCTTTAGGATCGTTAACGCATCAGTGGGGATTGATGATATCCATTATGCTAAGATTATAAGGATATTTGGTGGGGACAAGGTGTGGAGGGACATATTTCTTCACATTCTTAATGAGATGAAGGTTGGGTGGGTGATGAATCAGCCTCTGTGATATGTTCGTTATCTTACTTTTATGTGCTTTTGGATAACTGTTTTATAACTCCTTTTACATTACTGTTGGATGACTGTATTTAATTTTCTTTATCTATTGCTTTTACATTACTGTTGGATGACTGTATTTAATTTTCTTTATCTACTGCTTTTACATTACTGTTGGATAACTGTATTTAATTTTCTTTATCTACTGCTTTTACATTATTGCTGGATAACTGTATGATTTGGTATGTCTTTTATCCCTTTTTATTATTATTATTATTGTTGAATAACTGTATTATTTGCTATATATTGTTCATTTTTCTTAGATCATTGTGTTGTTTAATTTTTATTACAATAACTGATTCTGTTATGGATATAAGGACAATATTAACCATGTATGATGATGATGAGGAGGAGGAAATTCTTGTATTGATCGCAGCCGTATATGAGTACTATCATAAACATTTTGATAAGCAACGTTGTACGGATTCCATGTTACAAGGGGAAGATTACATATTCGAGATTTTAAATGGACATGGAGATAGGTGTAATGAAAATTTTCGGATGTACCCCAATACCTTTAGGGCTTTGTGTCGTGAGTTGAAATTGTTAGGATTGAAAAATTCTACATTTGTAACAGTAGAAGAACAAGTTGCAATTTTCCTACTTACCTTGTATCACAATGAAAGGAATCGTGTCATTGCTGAAAGATTCCAACACTCTACATCCACAATTTCATATCGCTTTCATGCTATCTTAAAGTTAAGGACTAAGATTATTGTTCCTCCGGATTTGAATGAAATTCCTAAACAGATAAAGAACAATCTAAAGTTTTACCCATATTTTAAGAATTATGTAGGAGCTATAGATGGAACTCATATCCATGTTGTAGTGCCAGTCGACAAACAAATACCCTTTCGTGGTAAAAAGGGTGATACGACCCAAAATGTCATGGCGATGTGTTCTTTTGATATGAAATTGACATATATTCTAGCAGGGTGGGAAGGGTCTGCTAATGATTCGAAGATTTTAAATGAGTGTATTCAGAATGAGGATTTGAATTTTCCATCACCACCCGAAGGTAAAAAAATTACCTTTCCATATTTATATTTAACATTAAAAATACGTTAATTTTAATACTTAACATGACATGTAAGTATTATTTGGTGGACTCTGAGTACACCAATTAACCGGGGTTTTTGGCCCATTTCCGGAGTCAACGTTACCACGTGCAGGAATATCGTAGACATACTAGAGGACCACGTGGTAGAGAAGATGTGTACAATTTTAGGCACTCGTCATTGAGGAATATCATAGAGCGATGTTTTGGGTTAGTAAAGATGAGATTCTCTATATTGAAGCAAATGCTCCCTTATCACTTTGATACTCAAGTTCTTATTGTCATAGCTTATTGTACATTGCATAATTTCATAAGATTCCAAGGTAAATCTGATGAAATTTTTTATTGTGAAACCCCTGAATCTTCTACTTCACAAAATGAACCTGATATGGATGACATTGTTGAGGTCATCAGTGCTACTAATACACAGATGCGACAGATGGATATTTATCGTGATCGTATTGTGAACCTAATTTGGGAGCACTGTAATCACTAATTATAATAATGTGTAATAGTGTGTAGGATTTTAACTGAAATGCATAGAATATGGATAACTGTAATAACTAATTATATTACGTAAATTAAACTTACATGCATACAATATGGATAACTGTAATAATTAATTATATTAGGACATCAAATCTTAAATGCTTTAGTACTTGTAGGCGCACTTATGTATTGGCTTGAAGGTGAGCGACCACAATGTGCATGTGGTAGAGGTCCTATGCATCTGTATAGGGCTCTAATTCCAAAAAATTATGGTTGACAATTCTATAGGTGTCCAGTTCGGGAGGTATGGCTTTAATCTTTTAGGTGTTATTTCTGTTACTGTTTCCTAATTGTATAATTTATATTTCTTATAGTCATATATGAATATATTTATGTAGGTGGATGAGTTGCACCAAGGTGCACAAGTTTAAGAACAGGTTCAATCTAACTTGGACAGAGTCATTGCAATGATTCAAAATGAACAATATAGACAGAAGTACATCCTCTTCCTAGGTTATGGACGTCTTACTATCACAATCATGTTTATTGTGATTATCTTCTTCTTGCTCATTATCGTTCTTATTGAAAGATGAAGTTAGATAAACTTCCATCTTCTGTAATATATGACATGTAATAGGTATTTAGTTAATTTCCTGTGTTTCAATTGGTATGTAATATATACTTAATTTTCTGTATTTGGATGACCTTGCTGCTGAGAACTACAAATGCTATATTTTTAGCTGCGCATTACTTGCTGTTGTGTTCTCTTTTCTGGAATTTTGGGAGTGAGTTTAAGGGCATTTACACTCAAATTTGCAACTTAGCCTAAAAAAAGGTTAACTATATCTTGCTTACTACTTCTAATTACTTCATTCCTACCATTTGTTATTTTGTTTTTATCTAATCTTGTTCTTGTGTTTGGTTTTGCATGAAGTCATTTTACACTCAAAATTTGCAACTTAGCCTGAAAAAAGGTTAGATATATCTTGTTTACTACTTCTAATTACTTCATTCTTACCATGTGTTATTTTGGTATGTAATATACGTTGTTCATGTGTTTGGTTTTGCATGAGGTCATTTTACACTCCAAATTTGCAACTTAACCTGAAAAAAGGTTATAAATATCTTGCTTACTACTTCTAATTACTTCATTCTTATCATGTATTATTTTATTTTTCTCTAATATTGTTTATGTGTTTGGTTTTGTATGAGGTCATTTACACTCTAAATTTGCAACTTAGCTTGAAAAAATGTTAGATATATTTTGCTTAGGACTTCTAATTACTTCATTCCTACCATGTCTTATTTTGTTTTTCTCTAATGTTGTTCATGTGTTTAGTTTTGCATGAGATCATTTACACTCTAAATTTGCAACTTAGCCTGAAAAAAGGTTAGATATATCTTGCTTACTACTTCTAATTATTTCATTCCTACCATGTGTTATTTTGTTTTTCTCTAATGTTGTTCATGTGTTTGGTTTTGCATGAGGTCATTTACACTCCAAATTTGCAACTTAGCCAGAAAAAAGGTTAGATATATCTTGTAGTTGTTGGAATAGTTTAGAAGAAGAACAGGCAATTTTACTTGGATTTGTGGATTAATTTTGTGGGCGGTGTCCCTTGTTGAATTGAATGAATGAAGATGATTTGAAATGTTAAAATTGATTTTTGATTGTTGAATGATAAATATATATGTGTTTATTGTGTTTTGAAATTTTGGAAATGTCCATTTTTAAGGGGAAACCATACCGGATTTTCGAAAAAAAAATTTGAGTTTAAACTTTGATTCCAAAAAGGCATGTGGTTGATTTTTGAAACTTGAAATGGATTTTTGAAAGAGTTTTGAAGTGTAGATTTGAATTGAAAAGAAAGAAAATGTTAAATTGTTTTAAGAATCCAAGTTGTTTTGACATGCATAGTTTTTGAAAATGAAGAATATTGATTGATCAAATTTTGTTTGTTGATTTAGAATGCACATTGAAATGTCAAAATAAACTTGTTGTCTTGAAATTTAAATGAAAGGAAAATTTTCTTTTAACTTGAAATATTTTTGCAAAATTTTCTTGTAATGGCATTGAAAAATTGAAAAGTTGTGAGCATAGTCCCGACTTGTTTTATTTCATTGTCTTGAATATGAAATGCATGGATTGTTGAAGAATGCCTATGAGCTATCTGTGCTCTGTGATGCTGAAGTTGCTTTGATTATCTTTTCTCAAAAAAGAAGGGTCTATGAGTTTTCCAGCACCAAGTATGTTTCTCATCATATTACCCAATCAATTTCAGATAGCACCTATTCAATTAGTGTATGTGTGTGTAAATTGTGTATAGTTTATGTTCACTATAAGTATTGTAAATTGTGTATAGTTTATGTTCACTGTGCTTCTACAAACTGCTTTTGGGTACTAAAATATATGCAGTTTTTCCTTGTTGAGCAGTATGGTTAAAACATGATCATTACAATGACTTTGATGTGAAAAGCATTGACAAAAACAATTCATGAAGGATATGGCAGTAAGTTGTGGGCAGTGGCATCAGTGGGATGGAAGCATTCTCTAGTTGTTGCAACTCTAGGGAGCTAGTGATCTCTAAGTTAATCAAATGGAGGCCTATGCAACATTACAATGACGTTGATGTGAAAAGGATTGACAAAAACAATTCATGAAGGACATGGCAGTAAGTTGTGGGCAGTGGCACCAGTGGGATTTATAGGAAGCATTCTCCAGTTGCTGCAACTCTAGGAAGCTAATGATCTCTAAGTTAATCAAATGGAGGCCTACAACTATAAAGAAGTGTGTGTACATTTTATGAAATGAATTTTAGTGATTTCCAGTTGTGTGTACATTTTATTTAAGTATAATGAAGTGTGTGTGTACACACATACTATTTTTAAGGAATTTCTAGCCCCCTATTGTGCAAGTATATATGTGAATGGTGCAACAACAATTTATTAAGTTTGTTATGTACAAAAAAAACTTATCGTTTAGTGTGTTATTTATGATTGATTAAAATCCTACAAAAAAAATTTCAAGTACTTGTTTGGGTGGCAATAATTTTTCTAGCAGGTTGTTTGATGGCATGCTTCTCTTTTTATTTTTTTCAGGGTGATTTATTGTTCAGTCTTGTAAGAAAGGGATCTTCCTTGATTGCTTGCTTTTAATCTTTCTTCTTATTTATCAATTCTGGTTATGGTTGGAGATTGTATGAAATATTCAGAAGTTGGTTATCAAAATAAATACTCAAGAAAATGGGAAATGGTTCATGAGTTAACAATAAAAATATTAGCACTTTGAAGGATCTCCACCAGAAAATTTCAAACTAATCTAAGTGAAGTAAAACCATTCACAAGCTTCAATGTCCACCAAACCTCAACTCTGACCAATTCAAGAAGATCAACGTTTTGGCTTTGCTTCTTGTTAGTTTCAACTACAAGGATCTCTCTCTGTCATTCATAATAAATTTATATATATATATATATATATATATATATATGAAACAAACACAAAGTTAAATGGAGTGCAAGCCAAAAGAAAAAGATAAATGGAGTGCAAAGATCTCCTCTCATTGAAAGATTATTACAAAGTTAGATTTGTAATTTGGTTGTAACTAATCATGTTTATGCCTTATAAACATCCCACATGATCTTATTTATACATGTAAATTTATTCATAATTTTTTTTCCCAACTCTTTAATGTAGTATATTTTTATTTATTTTTTTATTTTAACAAATTATCTTAAATCATAAAAAATAAATGGACTATTACATATAAACTTATAATTATATTCATATATATAATTATTAAAAACAAAAACAAAACAACCTTTACTAAACAGGGATCCTGTTATTGATTCAGATTTTTTGACAACAAAACTAATTTCCTAAATGTGTTTTGTTTTCGGATTCCTTAAAACGCATGACATTACCAACCGCGTTTTCATGTTTTTGATATACAATTATCAAAAACAAAACAGTCGTTACCAAACATGGTTCCGATTTCTACTAAAAACATACCGATACCAAAACGGTTGTTTTCATATCATATCAAACCATAACGCTATATAACGCTATATGTTATCGCGATCAGGCCCTAAGTTAATCCTTTTAACATGCACTGCAATTTTTAGCTTGGTTGAGCACTGAAACAAGTGTTTTGTGTACACGTTGCTTATGGGAGGCTCTAAAAAAATGTTCGATTTGGTATTGGAGGTTGTAAAAAAGTTTATAGAATTTGATTTACTTAATATCAGATTTTTGGTTGAACTAAGAAAGGATGTTTCCAGTGTATCAATTTTTTTTTTTTTTTTTTTTTTTTTTTTTTTTTTTTTTTTTTTTTTTTACTTTTGGAACTCTAAGTTGCAAATTCACAATGATTTCAATTCATGTTCTCTTGTATTTGAGTGTTTTGAACTTAACACCTTGACAGTCATAAAGGGTGCATAAGTGCTAGCATGCTATTGGCAAATTCAATTTTAAGAGGAAAATAAACCCTTTTTTTTTTTTTTTTTTTTTTTTTTTTTTGTGATAGTTGTCTGATTTTATTCTTATTCACAAAATTTAAAAAACAACTATAACCAAAATGCAGATTTGTACACAAACCCTTAAATTATTTTTTACTGTAATTTCTAAATATCTATTTTCTGCTGAACTAATTTTAAGAGGGATTGTAATTAATAGTATTCATTGGTCAATACATTATACCCCTTTAACCAGGCCAACAACAAATTTGATAGGAACCACAAATCTTGCATTTGTAAACTTGACTGAAACTGAAAATTATAAATTTATGAAATTGCTTGCAAGTATGGTAGCCATGTGTCTAAAATTGCTCATTCAATCGGTCACTAAGAGACTATTTGGCATGTGTTTTGTTTTGTTTTAAACCTACTACAGTGGCCCCTTTTAAGCCCAAAACATGTTTGGCTGGGCTGCTTGTGTTTTAAACAGTTACAAAACAATATAAAAAATGGGCCCAAAACATGAAACACAATTTTGGTGTTTTCCGTTGTTTC